TTTTTTGTGACTCTACTGAAGTTACCGCTAAGTTCAAACAACATGGACCCAAGTTGTCCTTCGGGACATCTGTTGGAGTTAAAAATGATACAGAGAAAGAAGATTAGCATGGACCCTGCTCAAGATGACATACATAGATCGACAAAATGGTCCAAATGAAAAACAAACAACCAACCAACCAAAAGAACCAATCAACCAACCGACCGACCCACCCACCCACCCACCGACAGAACAAACAAAGGAATGCAAGGAAGGAAGAAGGGAACGAACGAACAAACGAACAGAACGAACGAACAAACGAACAAACGAACAGAATGAACGAACAAACAAACGAACAAACGAACAAACGAACGAATGGACAAACGAAAGAACGGACAAACGAACGAACGGACAAACGAACGAACGAATGAACGAACAAAGATGGAACAAGCTGTACATGTACTAAGTAGTACTAACTGATTCGATGATAATTATGGCCTTTGACAATGATGTCATGCTTCATGCAGGCGAAGGATGCGGCTTTGTCTGTGGTGGATTACATGCTTTTTCGTGCTAGCGACAAAGACATAGAGGAAGCGAAGAGAAGGTATGCAGAAGCCAGTTCATATCAGAAGGCCTTAGAGCCGCAAAGGCGTCTGGGTGAAGATTCTAGACAGCTGGATCGAACAGTAAGTGGGAGCCATCAGTGATGAAGCCGATCAGGGAAGCGAGCGTTACGACGTTGGACGCGTCAATGGAGTTGAACTGTGGATGCTTCTGGGACTTAGAATGTTAGGCTTGTGGTTCTAGCTATACAAGGGATGATACCTCTGGGAAGTGTGTCGTACCCGGCATCATCGACGACATGTGATACTATGTAGGTTTGGGGACAGGCAGGGGTTATAGGGGTAGAAACGAAGGTTTGACATGCCGGGACTTAGCATGGTACCATGTAGCAGGAACTTAAAGCACAAGTACATGGGCACCGGGGTCGCGGGCCCGACACCTCAAATTCTGGAGGCGCAAAACGAAAACAAGACCGCCGACTCGAATTTATCAACGGCGGGCCCAGCGTCTGACGTTTCGGCCTCCTTTTCTTGTGGCGACAAGTTTCGGACTGCAAGGCTGGGGCAGTGTACTTGTGGTTTAAAGCACCAGTACATGGGCACCTGGGCCGCGGGCCCGCGTGAAATGAAAACGCTACCGCCAACTCGAATTTATCAACGGTGGGCCCAGTGTTCAACGTTTTGGCCTCGTTTTATTGTGGCGACAAGTTTCGGACTGCAAAGCTGGGGTCATGTACTTTGTGGTGTAAAGCACCAGTACACGGGCACCTGGGCCGGGGGCCTGACACCCCATATTCTGGAGGCGCCAAATGAAAACGCGACCGCCGATCGAATTTATCAACAGCGGGCCCAGCGTTTGGCATTTTGGCCTCGTTTTCTTGTGGCAACAAGTTTCGGACTGCAAGGCTGGGGGCCGCCGTGTACTTGTGGTTTATCATACTGCTGCAACTTCGCATGCAGCTGGGACTGGGCATGTGCATTAAAGTTAAAAGTGTATAAAAGCTGAAGAGGCGGTCCCCCTGTGTCCCCTCACTGCAATCCCTACACCTTCAGGATAATCTTCTTTGTGACATTGTACACATTGTACCATAATAATGGGACGCTGGACCCGGTTTCCAGCCAGCACGTGCAGCTCCCCAGCAATAGATGGAGCCCTCAACGCAGGGGACCACATGTCATCTCCTTCCTTAACTGAAACACCCCTGCCTCGAAGTCCTCAAAACAAAAAGAAGACCAAGAAAAAAGAAGTATAGCAAGTGTGCCTGTTCCTGAGCATGTAAATACTGTGCAACAGCTGGGACATAGCATGTGATTGTAGCTACAAAGTATGCTAAGCATGCCAAGCATGCCGTACTTAGCACACGATACTATGCAGCCTCAACTGGGCATGCAGCTGGGACTAAGCATGCCATTGTAACCAGCCCCAAGGCATGCTTTTTTTTTTTTTTTTTTTTTTTTTTTTTTTTTTTTTTTTTTTTTTTTGGGTCTTTTGTTGCTGCGATGAGCAGTTCTCTGTGACTATGGCCCTCGCTCCACTACTCTCCACATGAGTTCCAGTGGATTTGGCGCCGAATGGCCGAAACGTGAGGAGGTCCTCTCTTAATAGGCTGAGTTCTCTCCCAAGGGTCCTTAAGAGGAGGACCCAGGGGGGGGCTGAGGATGAGGATGTAATCTTCTTGAACAGAGAATGTAAGAGACGCTGGAGCCGCTTTCCAGCAGGTCTAGCTCCTCCCCCTGGATAGAGCGTAGCCGTCGACCAGTGCCATACCCCTATCTAAGTAGAGGCGGAGGTGACAGTGTAGCCGGCGGCTATGGTTTCCATGGCCGACTACAAGTGATGAGCTAAGACGTTCATATCTTATTCTTAATTCGAGACCTTTTTCACATATTCTTGCCGTGTTTTTCTGCGGCTACGTGTGCATGCGTTCTTGGTCAGCCTTTGCTGACTCTTGCTGTTCTCATCTTCTCATCATACCCCTATCCNTTTTTTTAAATGCAGAGCAGAAGGCGGGGGAACCTCTTCACCCTGTTTGGGTGCCAGATACTCTCACTACTCCCTAGCTCCCGTCTACTTCTGGACTGCTGACCCGTGCAGCCATCCTCCTCTTATGCACCGGAGGGCGGTCTAACCGGGGGGCACCGGTAGATCCTCCCAAACTTGTCTTCGTGTATGGATGGTCGGGCCCTAAGTGATGCATAGGTGAGCCCCAAGGCATGCTAAGTCTGCCAAGTGTGTCTTTTACTGAGCATGTGATACTATGTAACGAATACCCGAGACTTAGCATGTGACTGTAGCTACAAAGCATGCTAAGTATGGCAAGCGTGCCGTACTTAGCATGTGATACTATGCAGCTCCATCTGGGCATACTGCTGCAACTTCCCATGCAGCTGGGACTTCAGCATGCAATTGTAGCCACCACAAGGGATGCTAAGTATGTCAAGTGGGGCTCATACTATGTTAATTACGGCAAGCATGCCATACTTAGCCTTTTTTTTTTTTTTTTTTTTTTTTTTGGGAAACATAAACTCCAATCTATTCGTGGGGAGCAACACGTGCTGGGAACCGGGCCCCACGTCCCATATCAAATTGTACAATTTTTTTTAGGTACCGGGGCCATTACCCGGCTTCGGCTGAGAAAAAGTCTGAGAACACTTGCGGTAATTCAGGAAGCGTGGGAATAGGTTAGGACTTTCCTTGTTTTTTTCGTTTTCTTTGTTTTTTTACTTTCCTAATGACCGATTAAGGAACTACTAATGCAACAGGCCACCCCAGAGGTCCTACAAATTCTCAAAACCCTCTGAATCCCGAACAAACCCCTTCCAAAGCTCTCCAGCATGGTCTTGCTCCCTGCCGAGCTCTTGCAGGGGCCTCACACCCCCACATCCTGCTGGGTTTCAGGACCACACCACTTGCATGCCCCAGCTCCGACCACCGTCGTCCCAGCAGCAACCCTTGGCCTTGGTTGTCCCTTGGAATGCCCACCCCAAAGCATCCCCAGATCTCTCTACCAGGCCTCACACTCCTGCATAAGCAGGTTACAGGGCAACAAACACCCCAGCACCGGCCAGCGTTGCTAGCATGTGCTATGTTATGTAACAGCTGGGACATAGACTTAGCATGCCAGTGTAGCTACAAAGCATGCTTAGGCTTAGTATGGCAAGCATGCTATACTTAGCATGTGTCTTACTGAGCATATTATATACTTACTACAGTCTTCACCGGAATATAACGTACCGTCATTATATCTGTATTTGGGGCAACTTTGAGTCTAGATACAGTGATAATGACCGTACGTTGTATTTGGGTGAAGACTGTAGTCTATGTGAGTATGGTAAGCATGCCATACCTAGCATGCTATACTTAACATATAACAGCTGCTGGGACTTAGCATGCGATTCGAGCAACAAAGCATGCTAAGTATGCCAAGCATGCTGCACTTAGCATGTGATGCTATGTAGGCGGAACTTAACGTAACGCCGGAGCTTATCATGTGATAACTATCCCTACCCCTGCATAGAACGTCCGGTCATTATACCTGTATCTGGACTGAAAACTGCAGCACATACGGCTAGAATGACCGGGCGTTCTATCCGGGTGAAGACGGTAGGTAGTCACGACTCTCAAACCTCTTGTATCTCAATTTGACGCCAGCCTCCAGTGGTGGTGAGAAGCAGCAGCAATGGCACAGAGGATGTCAGAATGAGTTCAGTCAAAAGAGAACATGAATACCTTTCTCCGCCTTTTGGCTAAAAATAGATCAAGTGCAATGTATCTGTTCTGATCATCAGTTTAATATCTGATCCCTGGTCCATCAGACCAATTTAAAAAATGAAAGAAAAAAAAAAAGGAAAAAGAAGGAAAAAAGAGAACATGTGGCATTGTGTTACATACTTCAATGAGTATGGGCAGAACCAAAGATCAACCAATATAGGATGAGCATTTATGCAGCGGAAGTCTGATAACGAACTGACTCACATAGACTGACTCACATAGACTGACCTACATGGCATCACTCCACACACATACAATCATGAGATGGTGGGGTCTGGGTCATGCATAGACGATACCCAGATCCCGTACACACATGCACAGATGAAAGGTGGGAGGAGAGAC